AAAGGTATTGATGAAAGGCTAACAGCAATGGTGTCTCCCAAACACTCCTTCTAGCACATTGTGTTCTCTCTCCTCCACAGTGTGTAGGTAAATGAATAATCCGTGACTGACATGAGAATGTCTGGAAGAATGAGATGAGGGGAAGTAGCCTCTGGAGAATGTCTTCATCACTGGAGAAAGTTGCTTTCTTTTCAGTTTCTGCTGTTAATGTAGTGGAGAGGAGAGCAGCACTGCAGCAGGTTAAATTTGAACAATACAGTGTTACTTGTGCATGGTGCAACCTTTAAAAAAATCATAATGCAATTACCTTGGGAATGCCATTAACCCACAGAGACAATAATTTTTTCAAAGGCAGGTTACCAGTTTAGGATGTGCAGCCTACTGTCTTTTAATATCAACAGGGCACACCTCTGAGAACTGAAAGTTTCTTGGTGCTTATTTAGCACACTTTTAAGATTTACCTGAAAGCAGGAGATCAGGGAATGAATACATCTTGGCTGAGACACACTTGAGCATAGAATCATAGAATAGTTAGGGTTGGAAAGGACCTCAAGATCATCTAGTTCCAACCCGCCTACCATGGGCAGGGACACCTCGCACTAAACCATTTCACACAAGTCTCTGTTCAACCTGGCCTTGAACACTGCCAGGGATGGAGCATTCACAACCTCCCTGGGCAACCCATCCAGTGCCTCACCACCCTTACAAGAAAGAATTTCTTCCTTATATCTAATCTAAACTTCCCCTTTTAAGTTTGAACCCATTACCCCTTGTCCTGTCACTACAGTCCCTAATGAAGAGTCCATCCCCAGCATTCTTATAAGGACCCTTTCAGACACTGGAAGGCTGCTATGAGGTCTCCACGCAGCCTTCTCTTCTCCAGGCTGAACAGCCCCAACTTTCTCAGCCTGTCTTCATACAAGAGGTGCTCCAGTCCCCTGATCATCCTCGTGGCCCTTCTCTGGACTTGTTCCAACAGTTCCATGTCCTTTTTATGTTCAGGACACCAGAACTGCACACAATACTCCAGGTGAGGTCTCACAAGAGCAGAGTAAAGGGGCAGGATCACCTCCTTCGACCTGCTGGTCACACTCCTTTTGATAAAGCCCAGGATACGGTTGGCTTTCTGGGCTGTGAGCACACACTGCTGGCTCATGTTCATTTTCTCATCGACCAACACCCCCAAATCCTGTTTTGGTTTTGTCTGTCTTGGACAGTAAGAGTAATGAAAAAATAAGACATTAAAGTGTAAACACTTTTAATTCTGTGTGTTCCCATATATGAACAGGAGCACTTCTGGCTTGTTGAAACCACTCATGTCCTCATTCAATCCCCACAATTTTGCCAATCCAACTGTTTTAACACAACATTGGACCAGCTAGGGAACTTATCAGTATAAGACTATCCTACTTAGAGATCTTTACCCTCTATCAGTTCTCAAATCCAGTTCACCTTCTAGCCCTGTAAATATTTGTATTAAAGAAGAAGCATGGGGAATGGAACAGCAAGTTCAGGGAGGTTGGGGCAGGCTTAGCTGCCACACTTCCTAAGGGACCTTCACTGCAAACATTGGCATGTTAATATTGGTTGTTATTTCATTAAAGGTTAAACTAGCCTTTTCAACACTGCAGCTAAAAGCATATCCATTTTGACTGAAGGGACAAGAAGTGGCTGTTTATTAAGCTGCAGTATTTCAGTCATGTCCAACCATGTGCCCATCCCTCAGCTTCCACCTAGCCATGCCAGGGAGGAGGCATGGAGAGGGCTCTGTTGAGCCATGCACTTGCCCCCTCCACTTTTCAGCTCTCAGTTGCACTGATGCAACTTGTGTTGCTGCCCTGTGGAGACTGGGACTTGGGTCATGCCTGCCCATGGCAGGGGTGTTGGAACTAGATGATCTTAAGGTCCTTTCCAACCCTAACTATTCTGTGTTCTATGATCTTGTGTTCAATTTATGAATGATGTAAGCTTTTGTTAGATAAATGAAGTGGGATGTAGAAAAAAGGCGAGCCCCACAGCGTAGTGCAGCTATCACCCTGAAAATCCAGAAAGATTTTTGATGGCTGTGCTTTGTTAGTGACCATGCTTAATGGCATTCCATAGCATCTGAGCAGGAAAATTCATTGTCTGTGTTCTGATGAAGAGCTCAGTAGAGGCTGGAAGAAGTTGACAGGGAGATAGAAAACATGGGATCTTTACCATACACGGATTAAGTCAACTTTTAAATGCATAAGAGATTAAGCCCTTGGAAATAAGCTCAATGATGGCTTATTCTTAAGCAAATGTGTGGAATAGGGCCTGGATAAAGCACAGTGAACAATGTCAGGCTTGCCAAGAATGGAAAGGTTCTCACATTTAAATGTGCTTTTTAAATTAAAGTTAGATTTAAATTTACATTTTAAAAATGAACTTCCTGTGATATGAGCAGACTACCTTACTTTAGACAGTTTTTAATGTATGCAAACATCACAGTAGCAGTGTGCAATCACACTGATTGATTCAGCTTTAAGTTCATTGTGGTCGTTCAGCAGAAAGCCCAGGAGACTGATTGTAGGATATATTTCTCCAAGTCATCTTCATTAGGTTTCTTATGATCTGCATCTTCAAACACAGTTGTGAAGTGTTATTGTCATAGTAAAGCCTAACAGCAATTGCATTTGGTTGACTTAGTAATCAGCTTTTCTTCTTCCAAAATTGAAAGTCCTCTTTTCAAAATGGCTGAATTTCAGAAGTTTAAGTGTGCTTCCATTATAGTTTTGTGTTTTGAACATGGATGCAAGTTTTTCCATAATGGTTTTTGCTTTCATTACAGATGGGGTTTGAGACAGAGAAGTTAAAAGCAGTGGAGATTTCTGTCAGGATTTTTTTCTAGAGAAACTGGATTCCATGGACCTGGAGTATTAGTCCAGTTCCCAAATGACAGGAGGAGCTCAAGTGTTCTGCCAGATTGTTTTTGCAGTGTTATGGAATCTTAGTCCTATTCAAAAGGAGAAAGTGTGATTTGAGGACTAGGTTATTGGTATTAATCATATAAATATGTCTAGCCCAAACTGGGGTATGGGTGTGCTTGTCTGCTAGCTGGTAATGTGTATTTATCCGTGCTTGCTTAGCTGGCTCCATAGATGATTACAAAGTGGTCAGTAGTCTAAAATACTGCGTCAAAAAATCTTTCTTTTGCTATCTGTAGCCCTTAGAGCAGCGTCAGAGACAAATCTCCGCACTTCTGTGAGTACTGCAGTGGTTTCTGATCCAGCCACCTGATTGAGCTACAAAAAGTGGAGAGGGAGAGAGAGAGACAGTAGTCATGTCTCTTTGGTCTTAATGCTCTCCTAAATACATGTGCTTTGTTCATCACACAGTGAATCACAAGAAATTTTATGCCATGAGAAAGGTCTGTGGCAGTCTTTTAAAGCGTGCCATAGCTGTTTATGTGAGCCTAAAAAATGTGGAATAGCAAGCAGTCCTTAAAACTGTATAAGGTTGAAAAACTAAATTCTTCTGTGGAAATCTGCTCTAAAATATCCTTTTACAAATTTGTAGGTACAGAACTTTGTTTTCCAATCAAGAGGAGGAGATCACTAAAACTCAGTGGGGGTAGTAAATCACATTAGTCCTCAGAGTACGTTTTAAGCGATTTAAATTATCTGAACATTTCTTTTTATTACAGATGATTCTTTATCTCTTTGTACTTCTGTGGATTTCAATCATAATGTAACATGAATTGATTTCTGTCCCTGAGAGCTAATGACAGACTCTGTTTCTTTGAAATGCTCAAATTGGTTATACTGTGTATCTTATGCAAAGTCAAAGGATAGAGCTAGCACCTAGACGTGGAGGTCAAAACCAAATCTCTTTGTTGGCTTCCTGGTGATTTCAAATCCACTGAAATGGATAAGACGATTTGAGTAACTGTGCATCAATAAAAACCCATGTGATCCTAAGCAGTGTATTTTATTTTCTCCACATCCAGGGCTATTGCAAGTAAACCTTGTTCCCCAGTAGAGACTAAGCAGATTTAATGCAAGATGCTGGGTGTTTTCTCTTTATTTATCCTTACCCCACTCTGCTCAGCACCTGGAGGGTTGGGATCTTAGTTAGGAATTGCTGGCTAACATATGGCTATTACTGGAAAGCTTCTATCTGAGCAGAGCAACTGAAAATCAAGTCTGATTCTTTTTTCTTTTTTTTTTCTTTTTTCTTTTTTTTTTCTAGATTAAGTGACACAGATTTTGTTCTGCATTACGTTGCTGGAGAATTTTGGGTGCTGGTGTTTGCTTTGGTCAATGGAAATATTATATAAGTTACTTCCTTAGTGTCATGTCTTTTTCTTCTTCTCAGCCTGCTCTCAAAACAGCAAGGGCATTCCCAGAGCTCCTAAGTGGGCACCCTTTTCTGTCCTCCATATCCCTCTCATGCTTTCCCTGTGCTTTCTCATTCATACTGTCTTTGCCACTAGGCCATCTTCAGTCCATGAACTCTTCAAAAAACATATTACTGTGTTATATAATCCATATGTTCTGATTTAAATACAGTTATTCTGGTTCAAGATGGCGTAGATAAGTGTAAGATATAGTCTTTGGATCTTAATGTGTGAATGAAGTCCAAAGCAAGCAATTAAAGGGTTCAAAGTATTTATCTTGTTTTAAACTTACTTTTAAACCAACAGGGCACACAGTGTATTGTAGCAGAGCACAGGTTGAATCCACTTTGATTAGTAGGTAGTAGGAAATGCATTGACAGTTATTTTTCTGATTATTCACGTCATCGTTTTGCAAGGTAAGTAGTAGCTGGAAAAGGGACCATGAACTTCTGCTTCCTCCAACCTACTAATCATTGTTAGTGTGCTAATAACATGCCATTTTTATACTTGCCTTTAACTGCTCAGAAAAGCACATTATGCCAGTTTTCACAATACAGATACCTTGTGCCGATATCTGTAATAGCCAGAAATGTCAGAGGCATGCCCACGTAACTGCATGCTCTCATTTTATTTTTTCCAGGTTTATTCCAATTTATAGGGGACCAAGTCATACATACAAAATACAAAGGCTGACAGAATCCACGTGTTACTCGTTCAGAATACAAGCAGTCAATGATGCTGGGGAGGGACCTTTCTCAGACATATGTACCTTCTGCACAACTAAGTCAGTCCCACCTGCAATCAAAGGTATGTAATAGATTTTTTTACCTATATATAAGAAACACGTAAATATTAAAGTAGTTGGTGTGTATGCAGTGAGTTTGTAAGGGGTTAGCCTGAGTATGCAATAACACGTGAAAAATCAGTTTGTGCTGCTTGTGTATTTCTGTGAATTGTCAAGTTATATTATGGTGGGAAACTAAATTACCACCAAAATATTTATAAAAACACTATAGATGTTGCACCAACCAGTACTATTACACATAAACTGTTAAAATGCTGCTGCTAACAATAGTGTTTATCAGGGATTGCTCTGGATTACCACAGCACTTCTATAAGGAATGTAACAGCTGTAGTATATATGTATACCTACCAGCTTAAACATTAGTAAAGTTTAATGTTGGTTTTAGTTGTGTAAATGACGTTCAGCATGGAACTTGTGTTTATTTTTCCATTAATGTATAAAATTACTTATGATACTTCACATACATGAAGTGTTAGATTTAGAACTGACTTAGCTTGTGTTCCTTCAGAAGAACAAAAGGCCTAATTAAATGAAGTTTTATAATGAAACGTCTTTTACTGTGTTTAAATTTTGGCCTAAGTAATTTTGTTCCTTCTTTCCAAGGAGAACTACTGCAGAGGCAGTGGATTCTCTGTATCAGCTGGCAGATAAAGTGAGCTGAAATCAAATGCACCTTTTTTTCCCTCTATGTTTGAATCTCCTTTGTCAAGCAGTACCATTTGCTGTGAGAAGTGGCAACTCTTAGATTGTCAGAGAGGTTTTGTTTGTTCTGCTGTATTTAAAATCTGGTTTTGGTGATTTTTTACATCGTTTGTAATCAGAGATTTAGAGAAGGGAGAACACTGCTGGGGTGCAATTTCCCCAGTCCCTAGGTTAGCTGCTCTGAATTTTCCACAGGAAAAACAACACTTGAGCACAGAGAGAGAACATTGAGAGACTGGCTTCACTATACTAAAATCAGCATATGCAAGAATCCCACCTCTGTTTCTACCTGAGTATCCTTTGGATTTTGGCTTTTGCTTCAGTGCTGCTTCTATAAGAAGTTACCTGTATGTATGTGTTTGGTGTTAAGTTTGAGGGTAAATATACTTGCCCAATGGTGAATTGTCATGATTCACTCTTATTAGCAGTTGTGAGCTATGCTGCCCAGCAAAGCTAAGGGAGCCCATGCTAGATGAACCAGACTGGTGTAGGTGATAGTAGCAGGGCGAGTGCACTTCACAGCTTTAGCATATGCGAGTTTTCGAAGTGACTGGGCACAAGAGTATGTCACTTGCAGATGCCAAGCCCATGTTGTCGTTGCTTCTCTTAACTGCACTAAATGCATAAAGCTATAGCACAGGGATGTGCTGTAGTCACATTTTCATTCTGCTGGGTAGAAATCCATTTTATTAAATTCAAATCTCACCTAGGTTTTGGCTTTGAGCTCCCTGCCTATTTAGATTCTCTTAAATATGACTCATACCCTCAACTGAATATCAAGCAGTTAATACGGTGCAAATACCACGTCATGTGTGGGCTGGGACGGCAGGTACATGACAAAACACTGGCTGTAATGGGGAAAAGGGCAAAACAAAAACTGCATTAGTGAACATTGCCAAAGGGAGGCAATGCTACAGGGAAAAGAGATCTGTTGAGGCAAAATTATAATGTTGATTCCTGTCTGTGTTTGGAGGAATACAGAGGAATGTATGTGATAAACTTACTATAGTTTTTCATGCACATGTTTATTCTCCTATAAAGTATCCTAATTGGTCACTTAGCGATGCCAACCCTGAAATAGTGTTATTGTTAATAACAGTCAAAAATCTATGTATGTTGGGGTGAGGGATGGAAGAAGGAGGGAAAATAATTGAGAGTGTTGTTGTCAGCTGAGACGGAGTCATCTATTATCAGTCTCTCGGCACTGGCAGATGTGCAGAGAGAAGCAAATGGATATTGATTACATTTGGGTCCCAATATGATTCATATGTTCCTCTTGGGTGGTAACAAATTAGTCTAAAATTCATGTAATGTATGCAGCAGCAGCAGCATTTGTTTCTTTGATATACACTCTTGTTGTCTGTTTTCATAGGATTGGGAAGCTAGATTGCCATTAACAAGCTCATGTTCTTGCATGTGCACATGTTAACCACTGGGTAGAGTATTCAGCACCATTGTTTCTCCCAGTTCTGGCTTTTTGTCATGTTCTTGCTTACTGTGCCTGATCAAGAGGTTGGTGGACCTTTGTTGCTGTTGCAGTTGTTTAGATGCCTTCCAGTGGCAGATGCTTAATTGTACATTTAAACATGCTGCCGCCGTTAGTACTGTGCTCGGCTCACCTGCAAGCTTGCTGTTGGGCATAGTGCAGCATCTTTTGGCTTTCAGCTGGTGAAAGGCCTTTCTCCCAAGGACAGCAGCATTGTAAGAGCTGACTGAATTTCTCTAGAATTCTAGTGAAAGTCCTAGTCTAAGCCTGGCTGGCACATCTGATCATCTGAATGTCAGGCTCAGAAGCAGATGTGAGTCCAAGTCTTTAAAATTATGCTTATAACTTTTATTTCCTAGGCTGGACTTAATCTCTAATACAGAGGATTATTTAGCTTCCCTTTCCACATCCCTTCTTCTATTTTTCCTGAATGAAGTGTTTGATATTATTTCTCTCTTTCGATGATGTGAAGCATGGGAGGAATACAGAGGCATCTCCACTGGCACAGGTGTTTGGTCAGAACTTCATGAAACTGCTGCTTCTAGTAACAATAGTGTAATTTCTGTGTTTGTTTCTGCTTTGAAAAGATCAGTGTACAGCACTGCAATTGAATTTTAAAAGTTCAGAGTTTTCTGTCATGTCCACTCACACTTTCCAGCAGCTCACACAACTGACGGGTGAGACATGGTCTAACAGCTAGTTCTCCTTCTGCAGAAGTGATCTGGATCCTACAATAAATGTCCTAGGAGCTTGTTAATCAGCTCTAAATTTCACTCAGTTTTCTGTGGATAGTGTTTGTTACTGTTCGGTACCACAAGAATCTTATGCTTAATCAGGCAAGACTGTGCTGAAATAAATGAGAGTTTTGAGTGACTTTAAAGTTTTGCTTCTTTCATCCAGCCATGACGGCAATTTGATGTTTTGGCCACATAAATACGGTGTAGAATATCATAGAATCATAGAATAGTTAGGGTTGAAATGGACCTTCAAAGGTCATCTAGTCCAATCCCCTGCAATGAGCAGAGACATCTTCAATTAGATGAGGTTGTCCAGAACCACATCAGCCTGGCCTTGAATGTCTCCAGGAATGACACATCCACCACCTCTCTGGGCAACTTGTGCCAGTATTTTACCACTCTGGTTGTAAAAAATTTCTTCCTTGTGTCCATCCTGAATCTCCCCTTTTTACTTTAAAACCATCTCCCCTCATCCTATTGCAACAGGCCCTGTCAAAAAGTTTCTCCCCATCTTTTTTATAGGCCCCTTTTAAGAACTGAAAGGCAGGAATAAAGTCTCCCAGGGTCTTCTCAGGGCTGAACAGCCCCAACTCTCTCAGCCTTTCCTTGTAGGAGAGGTGCTCCATCCCCTGATCATTTATGTGGCTCTCTTCTGGATCCTCCTCAACAGGTCCATATCTTCCCTGTACTGAGGACTCCAGAGCTGGACACAGTACTCTAGGTGGGGTTTCACCAGAGCAGAGTAGAGGGGCAGAATCAGCTCCCTTGACCTGCTGGTCATGCTTCTTTGGATGCAGCCCAAGATACAATTGGCCTTCTGGGCTGCAAGCACACATTGCTAGCTCATACCCAGTCTTTAATCCACCAGTACCCCCACGTCCTCCTTGGGGGTACTCTCAATCCCTTCATCCCCCAGCCTGTACTGATACCGGTGGTAATGTCCCAAAGGTCTTTTTTTAACTGTTCTCATATATATTACAGTGCACATAAATGAATGAGATTTCAATGCCATCTTTGTATTAAATGCTGACACATTTCATTTTATTGTAGCTCCTCGAGTGACACAGCTAGGAGGAAATACCTGTGAAATTACCTGGGAAATGGTCCCACCCATGAAGGGAGATCCTGTTGGTTATGTTCTGCAGGTACTGGTTGGAAGAGAATCTGAATACAAGCAGGTAGGAAAGCAGTCTCGTTTTAATATTGCTAAATTGATGAGATAAAGGAAGAGTTTTTGAACATTTGCTGTGCTGCTTTGTTCTACTGTATTGAATTGCACCCTATGGTGATGTGTCAGGGGAACTTTGGTAAAGGCTGAGTCAAAATTAAGGGCTGTAGTAGGTTGGGGTTTCCCCTGAGGAGGTACATAGAACATGGTTTTCTGTTGAAGTGATTTGCACTCTGTCCATAATTAATCACTATTTCTAAAGGATCTAACCTTTGAAAAGCTACGGTTCTGTCCACCCGTGCTTTCTTCTCAACTGATAACCAGCCGTGGAAGAGAGGGAGAGTTCCACTATTTTACCTTCTCAGAAATCAGTTTTGCCCATCAGAATGAGTTATCTTCATCATGATTGTGGGTGCTGTGTCATCACTGGGTCACATCACTGACCTACGGTCTGTCAGCTAAGCTGCAGTAGCTATATGCATGCTCATAGTTCCTATTATCACAGTATCACAGTATGCTAGAGACTGGAAGAGACCTCAAAAGATCATCTAGTCCAATCCCCCTGCTGGAGCAGGAACACCTAAATAAGTTTACACAGGAACGTGTCCAGGTGGGTTTTGAATGTCTCCAGAGAGAGACATTATGTGAAAAGGAGATGAAATACATGTCTTTCAGTGATATTCTGGTTAATGCATTTAACTTTGCTGTGGCATGGGTGCAGTCACTTGCCACTATTTAACTGAAAACTAATGTTAATGATGTTAACTTAATTAAAGTGCAAGCCCTAAATTTACTTTAAATCAGTTTTGTTCCCTGCAAGTGAGTATATATTTTGCATGTGTATCTCAAGGGACATACTATATTAGAAAAGTTTTGCAAATTGTTTTCAACTGTTGCACAAATGAAAAATATTATAGCTTTTCAGGCTATTAAATACACCCAAGAGAAAAAAGAGTGTCTTAAGTGACTGGAGTTTCTATAGCAGTTGCCAGAGCATTTTGCATGATCCAGGGATAGTACAGCTGGATAAGGAGATAAATAGCTGCATGAAGTAATTTTTTATGTCCCACTGTTATGGGAATAAATGCAACAAATAGCTATTTCAAGCTATTTATGCGCTGTACAGGACTTCGTATCACATGTTGGGTCACTCATCCTCAGACGTTTTCCTTTTCACTCATCTTCCAGGACACAGCTGTCTCTGTTCTGTGGCACAAAATCATAGAATATCTTGAGTTGGGACCCATAAGGATGAAATGTTTTACACCAGCCCAGATGCAGATGTTTCGTAGAATAAAAATCCACTTTTAAAACCCCTGTTAAAACTGAAACTTTTCAACTAATGAACATGTAAAATTCTCCATTACAATGCTGTAATTCTATCATCAGATCACTTTGCAGCAATTTAAAGGCAACTATTTAAGGGAAGGCATTAAACAGTTTAAATAGGAAGGCATGTTAAAACCCCATGGAGTCTTTGTGTCTAGTCCCAGTTGATTCACTTCAGATGAATACTGCTGATAAGTGACCAAAACCAGTTTCCTCATTTTGTCTTAAACCACTCGTCTTGTAAAAGCTTATGAGTGTAATTTCATGTGCAGCTATATCCTGGAGCAGAACAAACCAGTGAAACGGTAAAGCATTTACAAATGTCACCATCTGTAGAAGTGACTATGCACAGCAGAATTCAAGATGATGATGCTTGTCAATCTATTTTTTGTGTAGGGAATGGGAGAATGTTTGAGATACGTTTGTGTTTCTCCCCCAGGAAATTTTGCAGTGATGTTTGTGTTCTGGCAGATATTTGTTATTCTGACAAACTTATTAGGAATATGACAATATGACTTTTGTGATACTAGCTTAGCATTCATAGTCTTGTGCCTTTTAAAATGGTGTGATAGCATTTTATTGACAATAATGTTGTATGCTTTACGTAGTAGATTTTAGTCTTTTCATCCAAATAAAGGCTTGGAAAAGGAAGATTCTATCATCATGAAAACTCGGAACTTTTTAATGATGATTGTGTTTGGGGTTTCAAACACAGCTGTATCTTGTGGTTATTTGGGGAACAGTTGCGCAGATGGTGTGGTACAGTGTTGAGCACAGAGTCTCCCTGGACTTGATAAGAAAGCTTACAGAAATCCTTAGGAAGCACAAATGTGACACTCAATTCCTGTTTCTGGGAAAATTTCACATTACAGATCTTGACCCAGGTCTTCGCTAGGAAGACGTTTAGAAGGTGCAGAATGCGATGTTCTGCCATATTAATTTCATTAATAGAAGAAAAATTTCATCTGGGCTCTTTGTGCTGATTAAGCATGAAGTAGTCTGCTTCAGCTTATTCTGGCAGAGGGTCAGGTGCATGCTAAAGTAGCCATGTTTCACTTCCCTTATTCACACAGCATGGCTCCTTAGTACACAGCACTGATTTTTCTGGAACTGCCTGTGAATCAGTATAAAGTAGGGCATGGTAGCACCTCTCTAGTGTGTTTTGAATCTAAAGTGAATAAACATAAAAGCCTAATTATGAAATAAAACATTAGTAGGAGGAAACAAAGTCTTATTGTCATCTCTTAACTCTCAAATCTTGAGCTCCTTGTAAATCTGTTGCTGTGTATGCTATCCTAGAGATGAAACTCTTGAGAGATGAACACCTAGGAGCAGACCACTGCTCTGTACTTGCACCTCGCTTATGTTGTAGAAGCAAATTCAAGTTACAGAAAATACTCTTCATTAATTTATAAAATAAACTAAATCACTTTAGCATTTCCTTCCCCTGCTGTGACATTAGACATTTACATGCTTTTGGGCAAAGCTATAGTTTCTCTCTAGATCATCACACCTGAGCTGAGCTCCCTCCCCTGGTAACCCAATGTATGCAGCCCTCTACATCGCAAAAGTCACTGCTGTTCCACAATTTGTCGGAGCAGAGTTAGTATCAAAGTACTCAAAAGCTCTGTGTTTTACAGACTCAGGCTATAGCTGTCCCTGTTCTCCCCCGGGGGAACACGTAAATGTTTCTCTGATGAGAATTGCCTGAAAAACTGGATTTGCAGAAGCTAAACACATAACACTGTAGCTCCCTACAAAGTGCGTTCAACAAAATTCTCAAGCGATGCATTCCTTTTTGTGTATTTGTTAGTTTTATCTATTGGAATACTTAAAAAAGGATTGACATATGACAGGTCTTTGTAGGAAAGCAATTTTTCCTTTTTTATGAATCAGGATGTAAATCACAGCTGCCTCCAGGAATCAGTGGCCCAAATTTGTTTTTCTGTTTCTTGCACTTTCATCTAGCAAAACTTAGTCAGAACTTAGCTTTAAAGTGTGTTAAAATCATCTCCAGCTTTGCATAGTTTTAATCCGGAATCTGGGGAGTGGGATGGGTTTTGCAGCACTAGCAGGAGTTGAAGCTTGGGATAACAGTTGTAACACTCGCAGCCTAAGTTTTAGTTTAGTTCCCCAGCTGAGCAGCTCTGGGGATTGAATCACTGAGGATCCAGCTCTTCATAATATCTGACCACAGGAAATGAGAGCTGAGTTTTAAAGCTTATCCTTAAATTGTTTGCCAGTGAGGCAAAATGTTCTTACATTTGAAATTTCTGAGAATTTGGAGGCAGTGGCGTTTCATCAGCTTCTGTCACATCTCCTCTGGGAGAAAACTGCCCCCAAATGCTATCCAAAGAAAAGATACGGGTGGGATACACTGGGTGTGTAAAAAAATCCCCCAGCAATGCAGTGCAAAGCCTGCTGGGGTCTGCATGAGGTGGGTGCCTGGGAGAACCCAGTTGGCTTAACAAACTCTGATTTTTATTAGTTTTTCTTTGTTTCAGACTCAGTAGACGCACAGTCTCTGAAATGCATTCGGTGTATTGTTAATCTGTATAGAGCTCTAATCAGCTAAAAATGAGGCTTCCCTCTCTCTTTAAAATAGGGAGCCAAAGGCACTTGTGCTGCTTGCATGCCAAAGTGCAACATACATATACAGTACACATTGGCATGTGTTGTTAGTGCAACTTGCACTCAGTATGTTCTCTGCCTCCAGATGCCAATTTTGTGTCGTCAGATGCAGCAAATAATTTTCTTTTGGCAGTTTTTCAGTGCAGCCCACCTTGCAGGAATTGATCTGAGGGACTCTTGTGTCCTTTATTCAAGGGACAAGGCTGTCCATGCAGCTCCTAAGGGGTTTATGAGCATCACAACAGTGGAGTGAGTGAATCTGATTTTGAGTTTGGATAGAATAATAACCTAATTTCTGAAAGAAAAATCTGTCAGATGGCTTAGAAAAAATTAAACCTTTCAAGCAACTAGAAGGAAATGCAGCAGGAGGGCCAGGAGACCTCCTTGATGGATAAGGAGCTGCTGAGAAAAATTCAAATGAAAAAAGAGTCTTATAGAAAGTGGAAGAGTACAGGGATGTTGTCCAGGAAGCTAGGGACCAGGTTAGGAAAGCTAAGGCCCAGTTAGAATTAAACTTGGCTAGAGATATTAAGGATAACAGGAAGGGATTCTACAGGTACATAGCAAATAAAAAACAGACTAGGGAGAACGTAGGCCCCCTCAGGAAGCTCTCGGATGAACTAGCTACACAGGATTTGGAGAAGGCTGAGGTTCTGAACGACTTCTTTGCCTTGGTCTTGTCTGGCAAAGGCTCTGACCGCACCACCCAAGTCTTGGAAGGCAGACGCAGGGACTGTGAGAATGAAGACCTTGGGCCACTGTAGGAGAGGAACTGGTTCGAGACCATCTTAAAAATCTGAACGTGCACAAGTCCATGGGTCCTGATGAAATCCATCCACGGGTCCTGAAGGAGCTGGCAAATGAAGTTGCTAAGCCGCTGGCCGTCATATTTGAAAAATCATGGCAATCAGGTGAAGTTCCCGACAACTGGAAAAAGGGAAATATAACCCCCATTTTCAGGAAAGGGAAAATGGATGACCTGGGCAATTACAGCCCAGTCAGTCTCGCCTCTGTTCCTGGCAAAATGTTGGAGCAGATTCTCCTGGAAGGCATGCTAAGGCACATGAAAAACAACAAGGTGCCTGGTGACAGCCAGCATGGCTTCACCAAGGGGAAATCCTGCCTGACCAATTTGGTGGCCTTCTATGATGGGGCTACAGAACTGATGGACTACAGTAGATCAGTTGATGTCATCTACCTGGATTTGTGTAAAGCGTTCGACACTGTCCCACACGACATCCTTGTCTCTAAATTGGAGAGACATCAGTTTGATGAATGGACCACTCGGTGGATAAAGAACTGGCTGGATGGCCACACACAAAGAGTTGTGGCCAATGGCTCAATGTCCGGCTGGAGGCCAGTAACGAGTGGTGTCCCT